AAAAAAAAAAAGAAGAAAGAAAAAAAGAAAAAAAAGAAAAAAAGAAGGAAACCTCATCATAAGGTTCCACGGACTGACCAAGACACTACCTTAGCTTAGAAGAGGCAAATTAAACATTAAGTTAAATTCTCTACTATTGATCCTTAAGTTATTATTACGTCATGAACGGTTATTTCTTAATAATAATAATAATAAGTCCGATCCATTTTTTAATAATAATAAGTTACTCTTACTTTTATTACTCCAATTTTTTAAATAACATTATGTTACTTTTGTCTTTGTTAGTCTAATTTTTCTTTAAAAATATTCAATGTTTTAAAGTGTATGTTTGACCAATAATTTTGCTTAAAATGAATCTATGTGAAGTATGACTTAATTGTATGAAAAAGAGAATGCTACTCACATGTATTTATAATGGAAAACAGAAAAATACATGAACTAACGGAGAGAAAACACATTTTAATTATATTTCAGAGATTCATTGGGAATTCTCAAAAGGGGATGAGTTCATTAGAGAAGCGGGTCAACGGACTGGAGAAGACCTTGGAGGAAATGCAGCGGCAGCACTGTTTTGGGGCTCCGCCGGTGATAATGTCACCGCCGGCGACCACCGGAAATACTTGTTGGTAGGCTCACAATTCATATTACGGGTAAATAATTAATAACACATGAGGACATGGGAGATTCATTCAATGCTTCAAATATCACATTTATCTGTGTGTTTGTTCATATACGACTAGACTAGAAACCACATGCCCAATGTGATCCCAACACAGGCAACCTTGGCCTTGTAAAATATATTTTCCAAGATTTGTTCTTTAATGTTCAACTCTTGAATTATTGGTGACTTGATTATCCAAGATTTCATAGAAAGTAGTATGCAGTATTTGAAGTTGAATGCTTTCATCACATTGGTTTTTATTTTTTTTTTGGTTTTGAGGGTATCCCAGTTGTAACGGTTGTACACCAAGTGGGACACCTCTATTATACACATAGACATTCCTCTCGTTGTAACTGTTGTACATCAAGTGGGACACCTCTAGTATTTTTCTTTATTTTTTCAATTACAGTTAACCTAGAGGTACTCAAAAATGGGTATTTCATCTGTACATGAATCATTCACAGGCACATTGATACTCAATGTATGTGCACACATAGACATTGCATGAGTGTCTGTCTGTGTCGTCTATGAATGCTCGATCTACAAATAAGGTATCTTATTTTGGTATCTCCTGATATTTTTATGTCTCATTTGGTTTAGGAAATGGACTCAAATACCCTCTTTTTTCAAAGTGTACTTATAAATGTATGCCTCATCCATTGGTGAACTTTCAGCTTTTGACATTCACTATTTTCTTCTCTATGTTTCCGTTTTTCATATTTTTTATTTTTTCAAAATTTTGTTTTTATAATGTTTTGAAAATTCAGAATTATTTATGTTTGAAAACAAAAATCAATGAAATGAAAAAATTAGCATAGAGTAAATCTATCTAAGGGGAGTGTATTCAATATGGAATTTCTAGGATTTTATTTTATTTTAAAAGTCAATGGATATTCAATTAAGATTTTAAAAAGTGATTTGAAGTCAAGATATATTAAAAAAGGATTTGTAGACGTCATTAGAAATAATGATGTATTCGACTGGGATTTTAAAATGTTTATAATAGTATTAAAAATCCTACATATTTACAAGGATTTCTTTAAAAGGAGGATTGTGATGGATTATAATGTATTATTTGATATAAATAAAAACTCATTTATAAATCTTTCAATAAACTCAAAGATTTTGGCTGGATTTGTGCGTGGGAAAATTTTCCATTCCTTTCTCTCTGCCCACAAAAATGGAGCTGGCGTCGAGTGAAGGGACAAATCAGAAGCATGTCTGGGTATTTGAATGACGGTGTGAAATCCAAAGGGTGCGAATTGTTTTCTAAGAATAAACCATTTTTTGTTTTCCAAATAAAGAATTTTTTTGGACATTCAAAAAAGAAAGGGAATTGTTTTTAGATTTTAAAAATGAAAGAGTGCACTGATATGGTTATTTTTCGAGACGTTCAAAAAAAAAAGTTACTATTTTTGGAAATGTCTCTAAAAAGGTTATTGTTTTTAGCTTTAAAATAAAAAGGGAATTGAATGACATAGTTTAGGACGAGTTCGCACTAAGATATATAGATACCCTTGTTTTATTAAACAATTTTTTTTTTTGAAAAATGAAGTAAACTGATGCTCCATATATATAAAGATTTTTTCTATAATATGAGGTCAAGGTTTAAAAAATTGAATCACAAAATTTATTATTATTACTGTTATTATTACTCCTTCCGTTCTAATATCTCTACTTATATTTTTTTTCTGTAATATGAGGTCAAAGTTTAAAAAATTAAATTGCAAAAGTTAAATTGAGAAATTAATTTTAAAACAGAGAAAATAATAATATTATTATTACTACTGCCCCGTATTATTATTATTATTCTAATTATTATTATTATTATTATTATTATTATTATGATCATCATCATCATCATCATCATCATCATTATCATTATTATTATTATTATAATTACGGAGTATTATTATTATTATTATTATTATTATTAATTTATTATTATTATTATTATTAATTTTATTATTATTATTATTATTATTATTATTATTATTATTATTATTATTATTATTATTATTATTATGTGCTTCATTCAATCACAGGCTACCCCTAATACATGCCTTTGGAGGAAGAGTGAGTTGAGGTGGGCATGCCACCTTGGGAGTGTGGTCACAGTTGTTCTTTTTTCCTGTTTTTAATATATGTAATTGTTTTGTTTTTTTTGCTGCGATTTCAAGTTTTGCTAATTTTTTTAGGTTAGTTTTGCAATACATACGTAACTCGTTCTCCTAAATCATTATTTTTTTAGAATCTATTAATTAGAATTGAAATTCTATGAGATTCAATTTCATAGAATTGAATTCACCATTTCTAATTTATTTTTTGCACTATCAATTCCAAATCTACATACTTTTTGTGCTTCCAAACACCAGAATTGAATTGAAGTTCTCAATTCCAATTCCATAGTTTAAATTCCGTGTAACAAACGGGGCCTTAGTTTTTTTCCTTAGTTTTATTTTATTGTTTGTATATAGTTTTATTTAGTTTTTTTAGCAAAATTTTGAAATATGTTTTCTAGTTCTTTAGTAGTATTTTATTTAAGATATATAGAATTAAATTCGAATAGAAATATTTTAATTTGAATATCTATACTCCGTATTATTTAAGAGATTGTCTTTTTGGGTGCAATAATTTATTATAACATAATGTTGGAAATGAAAGAATCAAATTGTATTAACTAGCTCAAATTGTGTATTACATGGTTAAGTCCTATATATAGAAAATGAAAAACAAGTAACAACCAAAAATATCTTCCTAATTAACTAACAAACTATGTAACTAATCAACTAAACAAATGCTAAATGGTTGATTACACCAACACATAAAAAAAGGAAAAATATTAATAACAAAAAAATTAATAATAAAAAAAGAACGAAAATATAATAATGACGAAATAGATTTGTATTTGGTATTTTTAATTATAAATGATACGGAGTATAATTTAATTTGAATATAAAAAGATAATTATTTATAAAAAAAATAAAAGTGTAAAGTATTAAATGAAGGAGAGGATGACTTTTTGGAGATTTCAAAAAAAAAAAAACACACATTACGCCGAGTATGCCGAGATCCGAGAAATCCATTTGGATGTCCAGCCACCGGCGGGGGGACACAGTCACCGTGAATATGTTTCACCGGCGGAAAGCGAATCGAATGATTTCGTCAGGCTCGTCGGCGATTCTTCTATTTTTCATTTCTAGCATTGTATTTTGTGCTCCCTCTCTGGCGGAAGGATCAGGAGGAGAAGAAGATCCTCGCCGAATCATGCTGAGCTTCAAGGAGACGCCTGGTGGAGTAAACGCCTCCTTCGAATGTTCTCCATCTGGTCCTTGCGTTCCTTGTGCCTACTCCGAGAAGGTTCTTCCATCTCTCTCTCTCTCTCTTATCTAATTACAGAGCATTATTTTAATTTATAGTTGAATTTCATGTTGGGATTTCATTATTTGCCACGATTTCACTTTTGAACAATAATGAGTATGAGGTTAATCCGTGAATCTTTGTTTTATGTTAAATGGTATAATAAGAACAAGCTTAATTGCTTATCTGACTTGTATACGTTCTACTCCATTTCAAATTGGAAACTGTGTACCTGTATTGGAAAGAGTATTTGAGCAGAAGAAATGTTTTTTTTTTACATAAAATGTCCTAAACATTTTGACCTCGAGCTTTAAAAAACAGAGAGATTCTTTCTGTTAGGCCCTTGATGCATTATTGCATAAGGGAAGTATAATGTGCCATTTCTTTATTTAGTCTGTTGTTTACTTGAAGCTAGAACATTTTAAAATATTGATTCTTCTAGCTTCATTGGCAATGGACTCTAGTTATAACTTTGTAAAATAGAACTCTTTTTATGGGACGATAGGAGTATTGTTTACATACTCCAGAAGGGGGAAAAAGTACTCCGTATATGCCTGTGGGAACCTTGCGAGTGCTGCAGATTGTGCTTGTTAAATTTCTTGTAGTAATAAACCTCTCTAGACTCTAGAGAAAGAAATGCTTTGTTGAGCATAGGCCACATTCACCAACAAAGGAAACCATTGTGTTGTCCGTGCCTGATATTCCATTATGTGTAAACAGGACAGATCCTTCATTTACCTAGTCATGAAGTTTATTGATACTTAGTACTACCGACTGTAGTGTACTGATTTCTTTTCTGCAGAATGATGCAAAATATCGCTGCAGTGAAACTGGATATCGAATTCCATTCAAATGCGAGGAAATTAGAGACCGTACAGTGGAAGAAAAGGGAAAGATAATTCACAACCGATCTGATTTAGAGAGTGAAATTTCTCACACATACCCAATAAGGCAAAGAAGTTTGTTACAAGATCCATCCACTTCTGCGAGTGGATTACAGGCTTACATAACTTACAGAAGCTGTATAACTACAGTTAGTGAAGAGAGTTTGTCAGTACTTGGTTTTGAGGTAAGTAGATACCTCTCTTCACCTCTTAAAAAGTATTTATTTCCAGGTATGTACGTGCTGAAAGGTGTTTGTATTTATCCCTACCATCAACCAATTGTACAGTGCATGTATCCTAGCAGCTGTAGATATTGCAATAAATTTTTGTTACCACTGCATATATTTTAAGGCCTTGTTTGTGTTTTGGCATTGCGCTGCTGTTCAAAGCTGTGTTTTCTGTCCGAAAATGGTGTTTTTTGCTGAAATGCCAATAATCAAACTCAACAACAACAACAACAAGTAACAAAAATCTAGTAAAATCCCACACAGTGGGGTCTAAGGAGGGTGAGTGTACACAAGCCTTACTGATAAGATCCGAATCAGAGATAGCAGAAGGCCACCTTAATTATATTATTGTGTGTGGGTTAATTAAGTTTGTTACTATTTTATATTTATTAAATAAAAGGACTCTCAGGTTATTAGGATTCCTGAGGCCCTAGGATAGCTTAGCTAGTTAGAACTTATCACTTTGTTCTCTTGATCTTATCCGATCAGTTTGTTATTTTTGATCTCATCTGTTTGTTAGAGTTGTTATAAATATCCCAGATTCTCTATTGCTGAGATATCCTGGAAAATAAAGCATCAATCACATTGAGATCCTCTTGGCTTCTATCACTTTTTTATCGGTGAGATTCTTACTGAGAGAAGGGAGGGAGAGTTCTATTTAGAATTAATTTAGATCCTGAATTAATTCAAACAGGTTTCTATCACTTACCCATGCGTGGGAAGTCGAGAGGTTGTTTCCGTGAGGCCACCACGAATAACCAAACACGCCTAAGACTATTTTCATCTTACAAGTATAATTCAAAACTTCAAGAAAAATCAAGTAGTCTACCTTAGCATCATGAACAATGTTCTCACAATTTTACCATGATTGAATGGAGCAGAAGGATATTGTTTGTGATTTTCATTGTCATACTTGCCCAGTTAACTACTCCCTCTGTCCTAAAATCATTTATCCTACAATCATTTAGCCATGTAAAATTCACACATTTTAAGACTGCATTGAGACTTGAGAATTTGGTTACTGGGGTTATTAATTTGGGAATAATGATTACTTAATAGTTAACAAACTATAGTGCAATATTTAGGTTGAAAAGTTGAGGATGAAAGTGATGTTTCACCAGTCGAAATTTTCCAAAACAGGCAACGCGAAGTTGATTTAAGGAAAATAAAAATTGGAAGTGTGAAGATGATTTTGATTTTTGAGAAGGAAAGATTATATGAAAGAGTGTATTCTAAGGCTTGTAGTCCTTTCCTTTTATTCTCATGGGAGGTAGAAGGCCTGTTTGGTACACAGCTTTTTAGCAGCAAAAGCTGGAAAAGAGCCCTTTTAGCGTAATGCTTAGTCCAATGCCTATTAGAAGTGTTTGGTGAACAGATTTTTAAGATAACTTTTTCAGTCTACAACTTTTTGCCACTAAAACCTCAGAGTAAACAACTCAACTAACCAACTACTTTTTTTCTAAACAACTATCACAAACAGGGAACATCTGACAGAAACATCTACCCAAACAAGCGAACAACTAACATAAGCGTCTAACAGCTTAACTGTTGTTTGCCAAGCACGGCCAAAAATTCGATATTCCCACACTCCATGTGCTCTTCTTCATTCATTTTGTATTGCATGCCATTTGTGTGCATTATTATTTTATATTCCCATTTGCTTCATGGAGTTCATGCACGTTTACACAAATATTCTTACAGAGTTTCTTTTAAGGGACAAAAACATGTGGCTCACTACATTTCTCTCTCCTTTCCATAAAAACATCTACCACTGACTTTCAATTTTCAACACTTTTCTTTAACTCCATGAAAGTCAAAGTGTGGGACCACTTTTGCCAGACAGAGGGAGTAAAATTATTGGACTCAAATGCAGAAAAAGCTCATGTATAAAAAATTCAACTCACTGCAGTAAAGGGTATAACAAATGACACATAAGTTGTTTGGTTTATGGCATTTGATAAATAGCCTGGTAAGATTGCCAGAGAATCATATCATAAGCTATAAATCCAGTTTCTCTCTATATTGTCCGCTTGAAAAAGTGATAGAAATTAGTTTTGGGTTTAAACTTTAAATATCAGCGTGTTTCACTTATTGTTGGGGCCGTTACCAAATGTACACTTGTTTTCCCAAGTGAGATGGATGCTTCAATTTATTATATGCCAAAAATGAGAATTTGATTCTCAAAGTGGTGCCCATGGAGTAGGAAGTGATAGAGAAACTGGGTAGTGTGTATGGTGGAAAGTGGAATTTGTCCCGCATTGAAAAAGTAACTTGCCACTAGACCTTTTTAACTATAGGAACACTTAATATGGTTATCATGTGAGAGTAACCAAAGGAAATCTTATGGGTTCGTTGTTGCTGTCTGACATAAAGTAAGTCATGAAGTAATGTCGTGAGAAGTTTGTTATCATTTTCTGCACAAGTCAACGTTATGTTTGTTCAATAAGTGTGCCCCGGTGATGATTCTATCTGGATCCGCCACTGCATGTATTGTGCATCATTCTTGGCTTCTTGCAAGTATTGTTAGCCCACCGATTTTCTTTTCTTCAACCAGAAAGCTCTATTGACTTGTTCTCCTTGTACTTACCAGCCACACAGAAACCACATGAATATTTGTATTTCAATATGATCATATTCTGATTGGGGTTTTCGTGTTTTCCAGGGAATAATGTTGGGCTTGCTGATGATAAGTGGTTCAACTATATACTACAAAAGAAGGCGAGCCAATGCAGCTTCTGGTGGCATGCCTGCAAGGGTTCCTAAGAATTCTTGGTTTTGAATCAAATGGCGCCATCGATTGAAGGTTAGGAATTCTCTAGATCATATGCTTGGTGTTCATAGGAAATATGTTGTCTTAGTCACTTTGTTATTTTGATATCACTGGACCACATAAATGGAGGCCTTCTTTGAATGTGTTATTTTTTTCCTACTGCATTCACATAGAGGCTGGACATGTTCAGGGAATATAAAATGAGCCTGTTTGTATTCTCTCACTGTTAAAAAAATAAAGCTCATGACTTCATGTTTTCTTTTTTCACTTGTCCTAAAGTAAGGTTCATATTTTCTTTTAGGGAAAAATTATGTGGCTCATATTAATTTTGTCTCACATGCATAAATCTCAACTGCATAATTTCAATTTTCAATATCATCAAACCCGGTACTTTTATATGGGATGGATGGATAGTACCTTGGAATTGTACTTGAAATTATTATTGATTTTTTTTCTGAATATGTAAAACTAAATTGAGCTATGAAACCAAGGTTCAATAAACTAGATGTTTTCCACATTTCTTAAACCTCATACTAATACAGGGTATTTTCTAATGACTCTACATTAGTTTTATAATCATATAAATCTCTTCTGGATGACCTGAAAAAATGTTACAATCAGATGTAAACACCTCCTTGCACTTCAAAACTTGACAGAGTAGTACTAGTATGTTTTAGATCTCCTGTCCTAAAAGACATATCTACATATGTCAATATACTGGTTAAGAGGGATGATCCACTTTGTGTTATAATTGTTACGAAGTAACATGATTATCCACTTTAGAATTTAAATAATCCGGTGTATCCAGTCCAGTATTCACCCAATGGGCAACAACCCAGAGCATCAGGCTCGGCCCAATGGCCCATGCCAGGCTGTGAGACAATATCCGATTAAATAATTATCTACTTTACACAATCTGCTGTATCTACTCCAGAATGTGGAATCATTGTCCCAACCCAAGCTAGCTAAATAGTTGGAACCTATTGACTTTATTCCCCACTTGATAAGAAGATAATGATTATCACCAGAATGTTTTAGGATGTCTGAACAGATAAATACATTCCTTAAAGAGAGTCAAGATTTTGTTTGTCTGATATCCTGAGGACATGATTAGAATAAATTGATACCTTATCTGTGATGGTCTAGGCATGAAACTTGATGTGAAACTGTTTGGCAAAAGACAAAATGGTATATGCCGGTACAGAGGACATCTATGAAGTAGGAAATTGAGACATTATTTTTTAATCAAAGACATCGGAGCGGTCATTCTGTGTCTTCTTTGAAACTTCCAACACAGAGGATGTGTGTTAATTATACTGACCTTAGCAAAACATGTCTAATGGGTGGTTGTCCTGTCCCCAGAATCAACCTCATTTCGATGAGACCATAGGGCACACACTCTTGACCTTATCGATGCCTTCGGAGACTATCATCAAGATTTAGGGCTCATTTTGTGTCTTCTTTGATGCTTCCAACGTGGAGGATGTGTGTTAATTTTATTGACCTCAACAACTCATGTCCAATGGATGGTAGCCCTATCCCCAGAATTAACCTCATTTTCGATGAAACCATAAAATACGAACTCTTGATTTTATGGATGCCTTTATAGACTATCATCAAGTTTTCAGGGATCTAGAGGATACTATCATCATCTCGAATGGGGTATAATTTTGGAATTGTCATGTATGAGGAATGCAATCGCCACTTGATTGGGAAGCTCTTGAAGGAGGTTCTTGGCAATATATGAAAGCACACTTGGGTGACATCTAGATCAAGGGAAAAAAGGGACACCCATGATGAAGATATATATGATCAAATGCTTTTAAATCATGGTTAAGGCTAAGTTGTAATTGAGTCTAAAGAAGTGTGCCTTTGTTTTGAAGGCAAAAAATTCATAGGACACCTCATGTTGGTTCACAACATTGATCCAAAACTCCGAGAAGGTGAAGTCCATCATGGAAATTCCATCCCAAAAAGCTTGGAGGATGTGCATATTGATTGATATGCACTTTTGCAAATTGGACCAGATTTCTTTAGATATAATAGCATATAAGGTCATTGTGTTATTCACTTGTTCTAGTTGATGAATAAGGTTTAATTTTATCATTTGAATGGACACTAGAGTGCTAAGCTATGGTGATGACTTCAAGAGATACTTGAGCTCCCCTCTGCATAAAAGACCGACCATGGTGAGATGTCACACATCATCGGTACATTTACAAACAGTGAAGCACAGTATGATGTGCTCTCGGGCGGACTAACGCTTGTAAAATCCCTTGGGCCTCTTGAATATCAAAGTTGTGACACTCGAGAGCCACCTAGTCGGTGGGAAAGTGAACACTGTTGCTGACTTGCCCAAGGATAGAGAGGAAAACATATGTAAAATTTGCACTAAATAGGACTAAAACATAAGTCATTTTCCAATGTAGGACTTAAACATTTTTATTCCCTAAATAGGACTTAATTATGTCTAGTGAGAGGAATAATGTCCAATGATGATGGGCATTTACTTAAATAATGACTAAAGAATAATGACCAATGGTCCTATATAAGGATATAAAAACATATTATCTTATATTGAGAAAGTCATTATGTTTTAGTCCTATTTAGGTAAATTACTCTAACATAATAGTAGTAGTTAGTATAATAATTGGTAGCTTCCCAAGTACTTTCTTCTCATTATTTGAGCCCATCATGAAAAACTTTATGCAGGTTACCCCAAAATATGTCTCTAAAATCGCCCAGGTGGAGATGATGCTATGCCGGTCGAGGCGTACAATTTATGTGGCTAAAACCATATACTCTGTCTGTTTAAAGGATGACTCCTTGCCCAATGACTTAAAGGAGGCCAAGAAGATACTAAGGATGGCTCTAAGTTATGAAACCATGGGATCCTTTCAAATTTGGCAGAGTTTGTTTCTGCATTGTCCATATTCAGTAGAGTTCAATATAATCTGATCTTTTTTCTTCTTGTGTCTCCATCTCATAGAGTACACAACTTTTTCCGATTTTCGATATTAGCTGGTGAAGTACAAAATTCTTCCGATCATCCTTGGATTTGACAAGTTTTTGTGTAGAGAAATACTCCTTCCGTCCCAATATAAGATTCCTCATTTGTTTTCGCAGATAGTTTAAGAAATGAAAAATTGTATGGTTGAAAGTGATGCAGAAGAAAGAGGAAGATCGTGAGTCATAGAAAGTTTTTCGAAATGGGAAAGGTGAGACTTTTTTTTGGAACGTTCCGAAAAAGAAATGAAGAGTTTTTTCTGGGACAGTATTTTACTTAATAACTCATAGTAGCCCGGATACTCCTCTCTTGGAAACAATCTTTTTACTTCCATGTTTGGGTAATACTTCTCTAAGACCCTCTGCTTGTTTTACTGGGTTTGTTTGTATGTTTATTGTTGATACAATCAACTTTTCCTTCCACTTAAATTTCAATGAGTTTTACTAGTAATTTATCTATGCATATTTGTGAAACACATGATATTATATTTTGGTATCAAACTCTAGTGTTAAAATAAATTTATTCATCTTTCACACAACATTTGAAAGCGTGTTTTGGAATGTGGCATCTTCTTGGAAAAACAAAATTGCCAAGTTGGAATCGAAAAGTAGTTATTCGTACATAAATTTGCTAAAAACAGTTTCTAAGATTTAATTTACAATTTTGAAGTCATATTCTATAAACTAAAGTAGATTATCAAATTAAACATTCAAAATTATATTTTGATGAAGTAAAAGTTCTAAAGTTGTTCTCGAATATAATTCCAATTCCAAACACCATCCAAGTTTTAATAACTTTTATCTTATGTGTGTTTTTTAGATGAATTATTTATTCACTCAATTTGTGGCGCTTTTCACTTTTCACCTTTAAATGGTGGATTTGCTTTTGTTTTAAACACATGCATGCAATCTACTAAGTAATGCGCGCTATCACAAAAACATTCCCTTCACTAGCTACAAGCTAGAAGAAAAAGCTACCTTCTCCCTCCGGTGTCTAGTTTAACTTAAATAAAAGTTGAACTTGAAAATTGATGGAGTTCCCGCATCAGAAAATAAAGAAGAATATCATTAACATATATAGAAAGATGAAGCCCCACCTATCAGCCTAAGCTTTTGGGTTAGGATAGTGGACTCCGACTTTATATGCGAGAGGTTAATTTTACCCGACACTTACCAGTTATTCTCGGCGATGTTAGATCCGTTTGTCCAAGTGATAACTAGACCAGGCTAGTTACCACTTGAGGGGGAGTGATGGAGTTCGGACACTCTACCCGGTGTTCTCGATCGGCTCACAGAAATTTTAATAGTGTAACTACAATTTGTTTGAAGGCGGGAGAAAGATTCTAAAGTGCATATCCACTTCTTCAAAAGGAAATGAGAGAATGTGAACTTATTTTTGGACATTTTATAAAAGAAATTTTGAATTTTTTTGTGGGACGAAGAAAATACTTATTGCTAATACTACGGAGTACATTGGCTCGTTTGGTAACAATTTCAACGCTTATAATCTTTTGCGTTTCCAAAAAATGTTATCCCACAATACTATTTTAGCTTAAATGTTTTCAAAGTTAAATTTACTTTTGAAAAGTTATCCAAAACGAGCTTCTCTCTTGACTTAAGTGACAAGAAGATCACTCCCCAAAATTTCGTAGGAACTGTGGGATGCTCACCTCGCTTTGATTTTGAATGGAGGCATTGTCTCACTATACATCATTTTCCAATATTTTCCAACTGTACTCTTTATTTTAACACCCTTTCAAAAGTACAATAAATTCTTTTCTGAATGGAGGCATTGGCACAACTCTTTATTTTAACACCTTTCAATTTTTTCTCAATTGTAAATTCTTTTGTAGTGCTTAGGTCCATACTCATTTAATGGAGTTTAATACGGAGTACAAAAAATGGTTATACGTATTAAGGTTTGTAGAAATAAAGAGATTCAACTATGAGTCCATAGAAAATATGTGATTAGAAAGTCTATATTTCACATGTGGATCTTAAATCATAATATCAAAACTCTTTTTCAATATTTTTCAACTCCTTATCATTTCTTCCAGTTCAATTTCTTCATATTTTTTCACTTGTAGATTCTTCTAACTTTTTCAAATTTTTTAACTCTTAGTTTTTTTCAATGTCTATCAGTTTATTACACTACCTCCGTCCCGCTATATTCGTCCACTTTTGACTTTTGAAACTGTTCATCTAAGTACTTTGACTCATCAAATTCTTTCAATGTGTAAGCCTAAATATAGTCATGTGTGATCTTGTTTGATTTGTCTTAACATATAGATTATTAATATATAATTTCTATAATTTTTTAATATACAAATTATAAGATAAAATGGATTAAAGAAGTGTATTGGATGTTGTGTAAAAATGAAAGTAGACAAATACTCTGGGACGAAGGGAGTAATTCTTTTCAATTGTTTTTACTACTCTTTTACTTCAGATCCTTGTGGTTAGGTTTCTTACTATTTCTTTTAACATTTAACTTTATTTTTTCAATCTAAAAGACTGTATCCGTAGAATGGAAATAAGTGGTTTGAAACATACTCCCTCCGTCTTATATCTTTCCTCGCGTTGGGCAAAAACAAGCAAAAATTCAAGTTTTTTTCAATCTATTTTTTTATATATTGATATAGAAATGAAAAATAAAATATATATATTTAAAAATTAGATCAAAAGTTTAACAAAATAAGCAGTGACAATAATATTTTATTTTAATTTATCATATAGGCAATGAAAAAACACAAACAAATAAAAATTTTCATGAAGTTAGAATATTGCTCTGAGAAGAAAGATAGGAGACGAAGCGACAACATTCCAAAATGAAAATGTGCAAAACAATAAAAGAAGGGAGGCAGCAATGGACGTACACGTATATATTCGAACTAATGATATGCATATATGCATGCATGGCTTCTAATGCTTTTGCAATTATACTCTAACAAGCCATCTTTTACAGAAAATATATTCTTGTGGTTAATGATAGCGAGTTTAAGATTGGAGAATCAAACTTTTTTTTATAAAAAATTATTTTATTATTACATTCGATTGGAATGAATATGGAAGGCTTGAGAAATAAGATAATTAATTACTGTTAGGAATGTGTAGATATCATAGCCTCTGCTAGCATATTCCATTCGCATGGGTGAGGTGAGTACATGCAAAAATTGTGGGAAACTTTTGTCTAAATAGACCATAGGGCCGGCCTCGAAAATTGAAAAAATAAAATTGACCTGGTCTAAAATTTACATTTTGTGCCCTAGTCTAATCCATGGTGTCACGGACTTGGTCGTAATTCCAACGAACCGTGTGGCCTAGCGAACTTTCTTCCCTAAGTTGCTAGTAAGCCTACTCTCAGACTTAACGGAATATCGAGATGCTAAGTAGGAAGGAACTCGGACTCAAAGAAAGAACTTTGTATTACTTTCTCTCTCTAAAGCTTACAATGCTTCTCACTTCTTGAGTCTGAGTTCCTTCTTACTTAGCATCTCGATATTTCGCTAAGTCTGAAAGTAGGCTGACTAGCAACTAAGGGAAGAAAGTTTGCTAGGCCGCTTGGTTCGTTGGAATTACGACCAAGTCCGTGACAATGGGCATCGATGCCACTCCACTTAAAAAATTGACATGTGGATCCATTTTAATTTCGTTGTCAAGTAGATTAAGGGCACTGGAAATACCGTACCCATGAAGCCCCGGAGCTTCAAACCTTCTCTCTCTTCCACGTCAGCTTTAACTTACTTCACAGTTTCAGTGAGAATGTGTTTGAAGTCCTGGTGCTTTAAACTGAGACTTCAAACCTTCATTTTTACATTTTAAATACACATTGTTGGGTNCGGGGGGGGGGGGTGGGGGCTAGGAGACTAAGCGGAAGAGTATCGAACTGAGTCGAGAGTGCACAAATATGGAATCAAATAAGTGGTAAGTATTATTGTGCTAGTTAGAACGTAACTCCCCCTCTTTCGAAGGGGTTTATATACGAATTACAACAAGGGGTTCCCGACCGTTGGTCCGGAGTCCAACGGTGTGGGCCCACTAAGATTGGGTTGTTCACTGGCGGTGCCTAACCACATCATAATCCCTAGGGTTGCTATACAAAATAGGTTACAAATAGGGTGGCTAGAACAACTCTGCCAGAGGTATGGCAGGGGTCTAATCGTGGGCCCCTTGATCTTGACTACTTAGACAGCTCTCGTGTCTGGATCTGGTCTGCTGACGCCCCGGGCCGAGGCCGAGTGCGTATGATCTGTTCCATGAGGTCCCTTGGTGGAAGGCCAGTCGAGGGTGGTCCGAGGACGACCTCGACCCTGCCGAGGCCGAGCGTGATCTGCTGCAGAGGTGGCCTTCCTAGGTCTTCAGATTATTCTTGCCTTAGTCCAGTTAAGTGGGCCTTAGCATGGTTGGGCTAGACCGCTTTTCCGTTGGGCCGGATACCCCCATTCCCGAGTATCCATCACACATCTTCTAAAATTAAATTAATAAAATTTAAATATTTAATTCTTTTAAAGAATTGAAATGAGAATAGTTCATTAAATAATAAAATTATATTCATTAAATAAAAAAATTACATTCATTATAAAAAACTACATTCATTAAATCAAAAAATTACATTCATTAAATAAAAAATTGCATTCATGAAAAAATAAAAAATACTTGAATAATAATTTTTTTAAAAAGATGATAGATAGAGATCAGAGAAATTTGTATTTGTGTTGAATTTTTTAAAAAAATTAATTTAATTTATAGAGAAGAAAAAATGTGTTATACCATGAGATACTATGTTTACACTAACATTTTTTATGATTTTAATATTATTGAGTAAAAATTTAATTATAGAATATATATAGAGCTCATCGCTTTTATTGTAATATATTTTTCTAATTTATATCTTTTTCATTTCATTAATAATAAAATTATTATGAATGAGGTTTGATTTTATTGCTCGAGACTATCAAGAAACTTCTATTGCAACATGGAATTTGTATTGTAGGGATGTTTTGGATCTAGAGAAGCATAGACAATTACATTAAAGGAGGCTTTAAGCTGGATCAAGGACAAATATTAAAGATTTATCATTGTGGAACCAGATTGTAAAGAAGTGATTGATG